GGTTCATGATCAAGAGGAAAGTTTCCTCTGCACAGCAAGGACATTTTATTACAACCACCAGACATGTGACTGCTTTGCTGAGAATTTACCTCAGACCACCTCAGTATCAGAGGCCTGGGAGAGGGGTTTTCTCAGTCCACCAGTCAAGGGACTCTGTGAATATTTAATACTCACTTTATCTGTTGCTCTTCTCTGTAGAATGATCCCACTGGCTAGAAGGGCTTTTCCTGTTTCTTCGAACAATTTCTCCTCTTCAATTTTCCCTTCTTCCTTCAGCTCATTGTATTTCTCAACAAACCTGGATTGCAAGGTTGTGTTTTTACTCTCACAAATAACGTTTTGGTTCAGTGACTTGAAGGGGAGGAAGGGACAAGTCTCGGAAATATCTCCAGTTTAATTATAATCTTACCTCTGGCAGGTAGATTTGAAGTTTAACTGTGTCAGGTCGAAAGGCCTCGGACCACTGCCATAAACTCTGTAAAATCTCCTGGTCAGAAAAGAAAGCAGGTGAGTTTTTGAAACTAAAATCAATAGTAAATAAACATCAGGGTCTGTTAGATCAGGGTGTTAAAAAAAGCATTTACAGAACTATTTTTCCTTTTCACAGGAGCTCTTATGAACACCTGGAAGTGTCCAAGGCCAGGTTGGAGCGACCTGGGATAGTGGAAGGTGTCCCTGCCCATGGCAGGGGGTGGGACTGGATGGGCTTTAAGGTCGCTCCCAACCCAAACCAGCCTGGAATTCTACAGAGATGTTTGTTCCAGCATTTTTAATGGTTTTAGTAAATTCTAGTTAATCACCACCATGGGTCAGAGCAACTCTGTAACCCCTTCTCAGGGGGGTTAAGCCCAGCCTGGAGCTCTGTGCTGTACAGGTGTGTTTGCCTTTCCTGCTGCACAGGAGCCTCCAGCAGCCACGAGAAACATGTGGAAGATCATGAAAAAAACCTCTATTCCTTCAAAAAAATCACAAACCAAGAAGCAAAAGCTGGATTTAGGTGATTTACTTAAAACCTGTTTCTACCCTACAGCAGCTTCAAGGCTCCATTCCTCAAACATGCCCTGTGGAAGTTCCCACCACCCAACACTCAAACCCTGTGTGTAACTGGGATTGTCCCTAATCAGCAACTGGTGAAACTCAGAGAATCACGAGCTTCAAGTGAACAGATGATAAAGAGAATTTCAACCAATCGCTCCCTAAAAGCAAGTAATTCTGCTCAATATGGAGGTGGCGGCTGCCATGAAAGCATTCCATGGATCATGGAATGGCTCGGGTAGGGAGGGTCATTCAACATCGTGTAATTCCAAGCCGTCCAATTCAAGTAATTCCAAGGGCAGGGACACTTTTCAGAGACCAGGCTGCTCCAAGCCCGGTCCAGCCGGGCCTTGGGCACGTCCCGGCGGGATGAGGGTATAACTCGGCGGTGACTCACGCCCGCACTTCATCCTCGCGGTAGAACACGGGCGCGACCGGGTCCACGCTCCGCCCGTAGCGCGGCCGCACCGCGCGGTGCACGGGCTCCCGCAGCGGCGGGAACGCCGCGTACACGTCGAACCACAGCGGCTTCTTGATGATCCCGATGCGCAGCAGGTCCCGCGTCCTGCGGGGGAGAAGCGGCGGGGGAGGTCAGGATGGGCCGCCCTCACCGGGAACTGGCCCCCGCCCCGGCTGAGCCCCCCCCGCGCACCGGCTGAACACGCTGCCGATCCTCTGCGTGCGGCTCCCGGCCATGGCGGCTCCGCGGTCCCGCCGGGACCCCTGGGAACACCCCGAGCCCCCCGAACCCCCCGAGCCCCCGATGCCGCACCGAGACCGGAACCGGAACCGGGGCCTCCGCCAGGCCGCGCAGCCGAGCGCCGAGCGGTGGCGGGAGGCGATGCCCAGGCAGCGCCAGCCGATGGCCGAGCGGGGGCGCAGCCCGATTGCGTCCTGTGTCGCCCCCCCCAGCCGGGACTATCGCGACACGCGGGGCCGGGCCCGGGTGAGCCCGAGCACCCTCAGCCCCTGCCCGGGCGGCACCGGCAGGGCCGAGGCTCGCGGGAGCCGCGCCCCCGGGGCGGGCTCGGCCGCCATGTCACTGAGCCACTGAGTCACGGAACGTCCCCGCAGGGACCGTCAGCCCGACCCTGGCCCTGCACAGACACCCCGGCAATCCCAGCCCGTTGTCCAAACACTCCCTGAGCTCTGTCAGCCTTGGGGCCGTGACCAAACCCTGGGGAGCCTGTTCAGTGCCAACCACCCTCGGGGGGGAGAACCTGTTCCTGAGATCCAGCCTGACCCTGCCCTGGCACAGCTCCAGCCGTTCCCGGGTCCTGTCCGTGTCACACCGAGCAGGGGTCGGAGCTGCAGCCCCCGATGGGCTCTGCCCTCGGTCTGCTCTGCTCCGGCTGAGCAAACCCAGTGCCTTCAGTGCTCCTCATGTGGCCCTTCCAGAGCCTTCCCCATCCTCGTGTCCTTGTTGGGCACATGAGGGATGAGGAGACCTGGGACCCCCACCCAGGGCACCCACAGCAGGTTGGGGGGCTGCCCTGTTTGCCCCCCAGAGCTGGGAAGCCCATTCCCCCACACTGGGACAGCAGCAGCTCCCTCACCGACCCAGCCCCAGGGAGATAACGGGGCCACTGCCCCCCTGCTGACCCCAGCCCGGACCCCTGGCACCACCAGCAGCTCTGAGATCCATCCTCTGCTCTCAAACACCCCCCTCCTCCAGGCCAGGCACAGCCCCAGGGTGAAGGGGTGCAGAAGGGTTTGGGGTCACAGCCCTCCTGGGGGCAACAAAATCCCAAGTGTCCAAAATCTCAGGATCTCCCTTAGCACCAGCCCTGGAGCAAGGTGACACCAGCTGTGCTTCCCTAAACATCCCCCCTTCCCCTTCCCCCATCCTCAGGGCTGTGGTTTCCTGGGATCTGGAGGGTGGACAAGCCATGGGACACAGTTGTCACTGTCCCCCTGCCAGGCACGTGCAGGGCCCGGCCGCCGTCTCCGGTTTCTCTTGGAGCCATCGGGGCTGCTGCAGGGGCAGGACAGCAGTGACAGGAAAGGACAGCTGTCCTGGGTGAGGGACACAGCTCCAAGGGAAGCAGCTCCCACCCTCGCTGGCCAGTCTCTCGAGGAGGGAACAGCTCAGAGATGCTGTGCCTGCACCTCCACAGTGGAGTAATTTCTCTTCATACATTAGGAATGATGTCCCCAAAAAGGGCTGGGGCTCATCTCTGCCCATGGCACTGAACTGCCCTGTCTGCTGTCCCCAAGCTCAGCACTGCTGTATCCTCATGGCAGCGAGGGCATGGGGACCAGGGGTGACATCGGGCTGCAAACTGTCACCAGCATTGGGGTGTGGGGAGGGTCAGTCTCACCCCATCACCTTTTCATGGACTCATGGAATATTCTGAGTTGGAAGGGACCCCCAAGGATCATCAAGGACAACTCCTGGCCCTGCCCAGGACACCCCAACAATCCCACCATGGGCCTCAGGGTGTTGTCCAAATGCTCCTTGAGCTCTGGCAGGCTTGGTGATTCTTTTCATAGAATCATTAAGATTGGAAAAGAGCTCAGAGATCATCAAGTCCAACACCTTTTGGTGTCGGGTCTCGCCCAGACAGAGAGCAGATGGTGGGATCTGCACAGTCCAGAGGCTGCTCCCTGACCTGATCCTGCCCTGGCAGCCCCAGCCCTGCCCCTTGATTTATAAAGTCCAGGAGCTCCTCCCCGGCCCTGTGTAAACAGCCTTGCTCCAGCCAGCCTTTCCACCAACCTGGCTTGGCAGGGAGCTGGTCACTAGGTGCAGCCCTTAGCTTGGGAATGAGCTGATGGGAAAAAAAAATTACATCCCTGCTTCCATCTTCCAGGCTCGGGAAGGAAGGGGGCAGTAAATTTCCACGGCAGCCTGACAAGCCAGCAGGTATTGCCGGGCTCTCACATCTCCAGCTTCATCCTCATCTCACCAGTTTCCAGCCCTGGGCTTTTCTCAGCTGCTGGTTTTCTTAAAACACGGGTTTGAAAGCAAAACCCTTGTCCTTGTGGAGAAGAGGAATTAAAAAAGGAGTTGCTGGGACTGCTCCAGGGCCACATCTGAGCTGCTCCAAGGACTGGGCAGGCCCTGGGCCATTCAGCTCCTTGGAAAGCCCTGGCTCCCCGCAGAGCACGGCACTCGCTTGGCTGCAGCAGGCAGCCAGAGTTTCTCCACCATTTCTATGCTTTTGACATTTAAGGCAAGAATGCCTTGACTTTTTCCAGGGTCTTCTTTCACAGGGAAGGTTTCCAAGCCACACGTGAGGCTGGGAAGCTCTAATCCTGCCAGGAACTGGAAGCTGCTCCTGGACAGCTGGTGCAGAGGGAGTGGACTCCGGCCTATCCCTGCATGTGAGAGGGATGCTCCATTTGCCCCCCTGGCCCTACCACTGCCCCCCCGGGGCTGCCCGTGAAGTGCCACATATGACAGCCTCAAAATAACCCCCCTCCTGCAAGTCACAGGCTGCCCACTGTGGAGGTGGAGGTGTGGAGCCATCCCCATGTCACAGCCCTCTGCTCAGGCTGCCTGGGGGTGTTTCTCAAGGACAGCACAGCCTGGATGGGCCAAAACTACTACTTTTCCCAAACATGAAGAGCTTGAGACCGAGGTTTTGGGCACTGGCTGGGGACACGGGGGGCTCCTGTAAGTGGGGCTTGATGCCCTTCCCTCACACCATCAGACTCCCTTCATCTCTGGGTCCATGTGCTGCTTTTTGAGGCTCCGAGGAGTTTTTCACCACAAGTTTTCCTCTTCCTGCCTGTTTGTAGGGAACATGAAAGGAAGGGAAAGGCAAGCTCTTAAGAAAATCATCAGATGCAAATTCAGCCCCATCAGGAGTGTGCAGGCAGTGAGCCAGGGCAGATTTTGGGCATCTGCAGCCTTGAGGGGCACAGCTGGAGCTGGGCTAGAGATGCCCCTTCCCTCCCCATTCCCCTTTCTTTTTTCTTCCCACTGTAAAGAAATGGGAGTAAAAAAATACCCCCGAGTGTTAAGAGTACAACAGGACTTTATTATAGGAATTACTATTAAACATCTTTAAGAAAAAAATCACTTATGGAAATAAATTCTAAAACAGTCACACTCACAAACATCACAGATCAGTTTGGTTTGCTCTTTTTAAACCCTTTTGTAGAGAAATGATACAAATATCACTGAGAATTGGACATTTTAATGTAAGAAATGAGTTTTGGCTCCCAAGCCGGATTTGTGGCCTTTCTACTCATTAGACCTGATTTTTTTGTTGGTTTTTTTTTTTTTAAAGGACACAAAAATAATCCCTCTCCATCCTCCATTAAAACGATGCTTTGTTGCCTCCAAGATGTTTTGACATGGCTACAGGGTGACATCACTCAGAGGCTGTGCCAGGCCTGGGATGTTTAAGGGCACGTTGTTGGTGGTGCGAGCCAAGACGTCCCCAGGGCGCTGTGCCAGCCCCGTGTGCCCGCAGTGCGGTGCCTGCTTTGGGCACAGGGCCCCCCAGCACCACAACACCTCTGTGCAGGGCAGACCCCACCCGTCCCCTCCCCACGGCCCCGTGTCCCAGCTCACAGCCCCCAGACCACCCTTCCTTCCTCTCCCCGTTCCTCACACGCCCCACAGCCCTGTGGGCTCTGATGGGTCACGGGGAGCAGATGGTGATGGGCACTCGGGGGACGTGCTCAGGCAGAAAGCAGAGGCAGCTGCTGTCCCCAGGCTCCTCTGCCAGAAAACCTTGGCTGGGTTACAGAACGTGCCACCTGAGCAGGCCGAGAGGAGGGACAGTGTCCACCTCTGGCTGCAGCTAAAGCCGGCGGGGCAGCAGGACTGGCCTGTGACTGATGTGAGACGTGCCCAGGAGAGCTCAACTGATCCCCCACGGCACGATCCAGCCCGTCCTGGGCACAGCGAACCCTCCAAGGCTCGGCAGAGGGGGGTGAGCTGCGAGTGCCCAGGAACCGGTGCCTCGCTGCCTCAGCCCTCCCGTGACCAACTCCTGCTCTGGGAGGGCAGAATTCCCTTCCCGCCAGAGCCTGAGCACCCGCCCGGCTGCCGCTGCTTCCTGCGCTCATGGAAACTTCGCCGGCAGTGCAGCCCTCGGTAGCTGAGAGGCGCTGGAACTGGGACAAGCTGATCCGGTTCCAAGCTTGATTTTCTTCCAAATATGCAGAGCTGCTTTGGACTGGGAAGGGGTAATGGCAGCCTCCTATGGCCCCAAGGGCCAGCAGAGGGTAAGCAGGGAGCCCCTCCTTCTCTCCACCACTCTCAGGCTGGGAATGAAAGTCCCACCCAGGGAGTAAAGGATTTTCTGTTCCCAGATTCACACTTAGGCCCCTTGCACCCTGAGCCAGGAGGGGACATGCTCCTCCAGAGCCCCATCCTGCCCTGCAGGGTGCAGAGCAGCCCAAGGCACAGCCGGGCACACCACAGGGAGCAGGCGGCTCAGAGCCCTGCCCCTGGCACGGGATGGCTCTAACCTGTCACCAGGCTGCCACGACTCGAGACATGCTCCTCAATCCTTCCTTCGAAAGCAAAGGAGCAGACACCAAAGCTGGGATTTGCTGCTCTGATTTCAGGAACTCAAAGCTCGTTGGTATCCCAGGGCACTCCCAGCCCAGCACATCCTGCCCTCACCCTTGGCACCCCGGGATTCGTCTGAGTGCCAGTGCTGTGGGAACATTTACTTTGAGCTAATGAGACACTACCTGGACCCTGCAGCCACAGACAGCCAGGAGCAGCCCCGGCCCTGGCCAGGAACCAAGAGCAAGTGAAGCCCGTGGTGCCCCCGATGCCTCCGCGCTGCGAGGGGCGACAGCAGCGCTCAGCAGGTGCAGCGGCTGCTGCGGGGGGAATCTTGGCGTCCACTTCAAAGGCACGCGGGCTCCGCTGGGACTGAAGAGGAGCCTGCCGGGAGCCAGCGCCTGCAACAGGGACTTTTGTTACCAAACCCCGTGGAGAGGCAGGGAAAACAGTTGCGTGAGTGTTTGATGGCTGGGGCTTCTGCGTCTGCCGCCTTCGCAGCTCCAATCCTGCAACATTTGTGCCGGTTCGCGGGAGCCAGAGAGTGAAACAGGCACGTCTAGAGCCACCTCCTGCATTTGGCAGGGAACGCTGTGCCGATAAAGGAGGAGAAAATGTGCTGGCGGGAGCGAATTCTGCCTTTACGCTCGTCACTCGGTACTTACACAGCGAAGGAATTTGTTTATGTAATTATTTTTAGCCTGACAGCATCTCCAAGAGCTGCAGCGATTCCAGCGCTGTGGGCACGAGGAAGGGGCTCCGCTCCTGCCCCACACCAGACCCGGCAGTGCCCCCAAGCCCTTGTACAAACTCTCCATGCTGAAAACACCTCCACCAGCCTTGCAAACACCCAGCTCAGGCTTTGCCTCTCACCCACAGCGGGGGCATCCCTTAAGCTTCCAGGCTCCAGGACCACCCCCGGCACCCCACACCCCGTGGGACGTGTCCTGCTCCGTCAGTGAGGGTTAAACTGGTGCAAAATCCAGCCCTTGGTGCTGCCCCGCGGCGGCACAAAGCGTCCCAACTTCAAGGCAGTTGTAGCAATGCCGAAGGCAAAGGTTTAATTCAAAGTGAAACGCCTAGGAAAAGAAGGCCTTTCCTTTATAAACAATTTATATTATTTGACTATTACCTGATCTGAATCTCTGCTCATTACTCCTAGCAATAATAGACAACGGCTGTTAGCTTCCCTTTCTCACGTGGTTTTTGTTCCAGTGTGCGCAGAGTGAAGTTGCATCAGACCACTACAGATATGTTCAGGAGTGCTCCGGCCCAGCAGACCCCACGTGTGAACGGATCCTCGTTAGTACGACTGATTTCATTCCTCCTGCGACGCCGCTCGGACCGGGAGAGCAGGCGGGCCTGCTCCTCCCCAGCCTGAGCTCCACTGGCTCCTCCACAGCCGCTCGCAGCAGCTGCTCTCTTTTTTTTTTCCTTTTTTTTTTTTTTCCTTTTTGGCTGATTTTCTGGATAGAAAACGTTGTTTTCAAACTGCCGGTAAGAAAACGTTGTGCCTCGCTTCAATACTTGTACTTCTGAGGAGCACAGCAGCGGAGGGGGAACAGCCAAAATCTGGGTGATTTGTTGGGTGGGTTTTTCCTTTTTCAGCCATCTCCTCGTGAAGCCTCCTGCACGTCCTGTGCCAGCAAGAAACCCCAGCGCTGGGACCTGCGGGGAGGGGAAGGGGAGGGAAGGAGAACAGCACGTGCTCAGCCTCAGCTGCACCACCACCAGCACCTGGGGCTGTTACAGCCACGGCCACTGATGTCCCCACCCAGACACACTCTGGACCCACCCAGGGCATGCAGCCTCTCCTCCAGCCAGGACAGATGGACGGGACCATTCACACAAATCCCCAGGTGTCTCTCACCATTTACTGCCCTTCCTTCAGCGTCTCCTCCTCCTCCCGGAGCTGTTGCCTCCGTGCTTGGAAGTCTTCATCTGAAAGGCAGAGGCAGGCAGGGGTTGGAGCCACCTCCACACCAGGACACCTCCACTGCACCACGGTCCCAGCCCCAGTGAGGTGCCCCAGGGGGAGGCAGCCCAGCCCCTGTCCCGGGGCAGAGATTTCCTTGCTCAGACAGACAATTCCCAGTAGGACACTGGGGTTCTCTGCCATAACTGAGAACACTGGAAGGGGGTTTTGGCCCACAGGGGTATTTCTGCCAGGTGGTCACACCTGGGCCATCCCCAGGGTGACCCGGGGCCAGGCGCTGCAGGACACAGCCAGCCACGCCCAGCACAGCACACCCAGCATTCCTTACCATATCCATGGCCTTCCACATCATCCAGGAGATTTGCTGTTGAAGCCGCCGTCCCCATCCTGCACCCTCCACTAAGGAAAACCAGCTGTGGGGCCGGGAGGTGGCTGTGGCACCACAATCCCCCTTCCCATCCCATCCCATGGCCCAGCCACGGGGCAGCCGGGGGGCTCCAGCCACACTGTGCCCTTGGGGAGCCCCCGGGAGCACCCGAGTGAGGCCCCTCCGAGAGCCCTGGGCCCTCCCCCGGTTCCCTTTTAGGATACACCTGGTGCTTCAACAAGTGTTTTCTTTTTGATTTTCTCATCTTCGTCTTCTCGGAGAAGGCTCTGGCGAGTTCAAACAGCTTCTTGCGCGTTGCTGGAAGGAAGGAACTGGGTGAGGGTCTCACCCCAACACCTTCCCAAAGCTGCCACGGGGGAGGAGACAGGCAGGGCCAAGGTGTGAGAGCCACCCACAGCCCTGTAGTGATGCCCTGGGTTTGCCTGGGAACACCAGGAGTGCGCAAATCTGCCAGGCTTGGAGAGCGAGACAGGGATGCCTTGGCCCTGGTGGGAGGTGCTGATGTTTTAGCCTTGGGCTGGGATTTTCACAACCCAGACTGACCCACCCTTCCCCAGTGTCCCCACTGCCTGTAGCCCAGCCCAGGCTGCCCAAGGACCTGGGTCTAGTTTGAGGCGGGAGAAGCAGGTTGTGACTTTCCAGAGGAAAGGATTGGAAAAGGGAGAGTTACAGCAAACCCTTGGCTTGCTGTTCTAGGATTCACACAAACCCTGGTCAGAAATTCCTCTACCCAACACCACCTGCAGCCTCCACTCTTGCCACAACCCACAGGTGCACCAGGGACAGACGGACAGTGCAGAACTGGAGCAGGACTCGGGTGTCCCTCTCTCACCCACTCTGCCAGTGTCCAGCCAGGAGCATCCTGCCACTGGCAAGGCCCAGGAGAGCACCACGGAGCAGAGATGCACCAGCCCATGGCTGTGAAAGGCAGGTGGAAACTGCTGCCACCTCTCCCCCTGCCTCCCCCACTCCCAGCTCCCCTCCAGCCCTCCCCGGCATCCCGCTGCCAGCACGGAGCCCGCACACCGACTCACATTTTCCCATGTGTTTCAATTTGTCTCGGAATAAGGCATCGTCAGACACGGCACCGCCGGCCTCGCTGGTTACAGAGGGGGCTACATCACCTGGAAGGCAAACATCTGGTCACTGGGAGTGTGTGATGAGGGGAGGCTCGAGACAAACCATTTCCATGACCCGGTTCCAGTGCTAGCAAAGCACAGCCCTGCCATGAGCACAGCTGAGCCAGAGCAGGAGGGACGAGGGCACTGGCACACAGGGCTGGCTCTGGACGAGGGCCCTCTGCAGACACACCCCTGTGTTGGTGGGTGCAGATATGGGCCTGCAGCCCACCCTCGCTGTGATTCCCCCCCGAGTGGATGTAGGGTGAGCAGTGGCTCAGTCCCAGCACAGGCACCTCCCTCTGTGCTGCTCCAGGCCCAGCAGCCTCAAATTACCCTGGGCACTACCTGCACTCTGGGTATTGGATCGTGGTACCCAGGACAGCAGGGTCACCACATCAGGAGCAGGACTTCCAACTCGGTCAGGTGGACCAGAGACTCTCAGAGCCATGTCCCTGTGCCTGCTGGGCCGTGCCCCTTCCCCAGGTCCGTGTGCCCAGCTGGAGCTCTGCCAGGCTGCCCTGCCACTGCGTCTCACCCGACCCTGCACGGGGCCATCGACAGACACCAGCTCTAATTCTGACTCTGGGCAGCTGCTCCCTCACCGAGGTTAATCAGGATTACCCGAGAACAGTCGTTATGCCTCCCAGGCACAATCCTCTGCTCCAGCTCAGGCAAGGGGGGACAGGGATGGACAGAGGCAGGATGCAGGAGCACCTCCACGAGGGGAGGGCAGGAGCACCCATTCTCACCGCACACCAGCTCCTCTCCTGTGCTGGGGGTGCAGCAGGGAGGACTCAGCCCATTTCCTGCCCCCCCCCAGCCACTTTGGAGGCAGCTGGGCCAAGGGCTGGGAATGCAGGGCCTGAGGGGCATCCTGCTGCAGAGGGATGATGCTCACATGTGCCTTGGAAGTTACCTGATAATACGGAGGAAAAACCAAAGTCGTTGCTGACAGCAACACTGCTCGACTTGGATTTTTTGGACTCATATTTCAATCGATCTGAAAAACAGAAAGCACAGTGCCTGCTCGATCAGACCCTCGGGGCAGAGCACGCGGCTCCCTCCCCTCTCCCCTCACGCCCCCGTGGCTGCCAAGGGACAGGCTGAGTGCAAGGGAGGGAGCTGGGGCTTCACTTCAGCACGGTGACCACAAGCCCCTCGGTGGGAGGCAGCAGCAGGGGGTGGGATTGCTCCTCACCCAGCAGAGGAAGCCGCACCCACTGCGAGCACACGGCAGGCATACGTGTGGTTTTCCAGCCTCTGCAGTGAAGGTGCTGCCAGGACCCTGCAAACCTGCAAGGCCCCTCAGCTGGGGGGCTCAGAAGGAGGGGAAGGGCAGCTCTGTGATCAGGAGCAGTAAAACCACCCACACCCTCCCCATGGCACTGGACAAGCAACCAGCTCACTGGGAAGGAGCGTGGTGACAGGGGAGGAGCAGTCATGGGAAAACTGCTCTCCAGTCCAGGTCTGCCAGCACCTGGGGAGGGTGCACGGTCAGGGAGGGCTCAGAGGGCATTTCCAAAGCTCCTTGCTATGGATTCTGCTGGGCCCCTGCCAGAGACACTGCAGAGAGGTGAGCAGGGGGAGGAGAGCCTTGTGGCAGGCGCTGAGCACCCGGAGCAGGAGCCCACCAGTGTGTGCAGGTCAGACCACCCGCCCCCAGCCCGGCCACATCCTGCACTGGCTCTGCTTTGGCAGGGCAATGCTGCCGGCAGCCAGTGTCAGAGGATGGGCACACACCCAAAAAGCAGAGGTTTCTGCAGGTGCTTCTCACCTCTCTCCAGGGCGAGGAGGAAATCCCGGTTCCTCTGGAGCTCCTTCATGAACTCCTCGTTCTGCAGGAAGAGCGCGATCCGCTCGTCCTCCAGGTACTGCTTCCAGCGCCGCTCCTGCTCCAGGGAGCCCTGGCCCCGCGGGACGAGCCCCCTCGACAGGGGCTGCCTGCAGCTGTGGGAACCCTGGGGGGAGGCAAACACGGCACAGGTCGGGTGGTGGTCTTGGTGCCCGGGGGTTCCTGCAGCAGTGCCTTGGGCTGCTTGGCATTTTGCTCCTGTTATACTTCACCCCCAGCCTGGACAGCCACCGACTGCTGCTCCCCAGCAGGTCCCTGGGACAGCACCGTCCCCTCAGGATGGTGCTGCTGCAAAGGGAACAAAGGGGGACAGGGCATCACTGCCTCTGGCCACCGGGAAGGGGGACGGGATGGAGGGGACCGACATTCCGCATGGGAACCTCTCGGAGCCAGAAGTTCTCCTGTGCAAAGCACAGGCTGGCAGATTTTTAACTTTACACCGGGGGTTGTGCCGCCACAGGCAAGAGAAGGGTCTCAGCCAGCATTGCTGCTTTTATTTCCCATCTCTAAAAGAGCAGAGTCTGCAATTTCCCGCTGACAAACGTCCCTGCGCGAGGCACGTCACACCTCGCACCTGGGGAGCAGCACAGCCCCACGCTGCAGCACAACCTCAGCCTTGCCTACAATATTTATCTGATTTGTAGCTGCTCCCAGAGAGCCATAAAAAGCAAAAGCACACAATTACCGGGGAAAGAAAAGGGCAGCTGCTCCTCTCCTCCCCCTGAGCCCAAATGAATTGGCACACTCCTATTCCCAGAAAGGTAATAGAGCCCACGAAGCTCAACTTGCAGGGCAATCGTTCATGAAAATGTGGCAGGCTGCCTTTGGAGCCGAAAAGGGAGGGAGGAGCAGGGTTTCTGCAGCCCCTCCAGCCCCTCACCATGCCAGGAGGGTGCTGGCCCCATTTAGTGTTAGCAAAGAGTCGAGAGACACCTCAGACTGCAGCATGCCTGGCACTGAGCTGGATGCCCAGCACAGTCTGTGCTGGGGCTGCTTGTTCCCCACAGGGTGCTGCCCGTTGCCTGCCCTGCTGCAGGCACCCAAACCTGGTGGCTTCAAAACTGCCATGAAGCACATGGGGACTCAGATTTCCCAGGGGCAAATCCTCTGGCTTGCACTAGCTTTCCCACCCAAGTTCCACTGCAGCAGCCCCCAGGTGCCCCAGCAGTGCCACTGGTCCTGCAGTGTTACTGGTCCTGCTGCTCCTCACCAGGGCAGCAGGTGAGATTTTCAAATAATTGAAAATACAAGGTGCGTATGGCAAGTGGCACTTCTGGCACTAATCACTGAGATAATGGCAGGAAAAATATGAAAGCCTCGCTGAAAGACTCTCACACCTTGCCCACTTCAGTCTTGCCTTGAACAAGACACACTCCAAGTTTAGTGCACACCCAAGTTTAGTACCCAGATGCTTCCAGAGTGCTGGTGCTGCAGCTCAGGGTGGCTGAGGACAGGGGTCAGTGCTCCATGCCACGCTGTGGAGCCGGGATGCAGGGCTGGAAAGAGGAGCAAGGCTCACCTGTGTGCTGGCTGTCTGCTGGGGCAGGATGCGGAGGAAATCCTCGGGGAGGTTGCCCAGGAGCGGCGGGTTCCAGTTCCTGTAGTGCCCGGGTGCCGGGGTGCTGCCAGGGCCCGGCACGTCCGTCCTGTGGGACAAGCACAGACTGTGCTTGTGGGCCCCTTTGGTGAGGGAGAAACCCAGCAACACCTGCCACAGCAGCAGGGCACAGGGCCTGGCACAGCAGCGCTCGCCCAGCTCCACCAGCGCTCCTGGGAACCAGGAAACCCCAGCACACTTCCCTAACCTGTGGTGTTAGTGTCAGCTCTGGAGAGTGAAAGGCTTTCCTTGTGCAACTGGAATCTCTGGGAGCTGCATTTCAAGCCTTGCCCTGCAACTTTGCAGGCTGGGATTTCCTTCTCCTCCCTGTTTCACTCAGACTCCCAAAAACCAGCCTGGTGGAGCCCCAGCACTGCAGGGATTCACCTACGAAGCTGATAAAGGTCTCTCACCAGATGTCACACCCAGCCTGCACAGCCTGTGTCCAAGGGGCTGGCACAGGGGTGGCCAGGGCACCACACAGGGGTCCCACAGCCCCACAGATACAGCCATGGTGGTGCTGCTGCTGGGGAAGAGCCCCCAGCCTGCAGGGCCACAGACCCCAGGGCTCAGTGCCCTGGCTGCTGCCCCACACAGAACCCGGCTGCTGCCCCACACAGAACCCGGCTGCTGCCCCACACAGGGCCTGGCTGCCCAGCACCTGGTGTTTGTGAGCAGGGGTGAGCACTCCCCGCCCCCGGGAGCTCATTTTTGCCATTCCACACACTGCCAGAGCAGCTTTCCAGGCCCCTCAGCTGTTCATGTTTTAGGGCCCTGCAGGGATTTCCGAGCCAGCTGTGAGCTTCATTCATCTCCCTTGTCTTCATCCCACCCGACCCCAACAAAGTGGGGTCAGATACCCCATGCCAGGGCCAGCTGATGGCAGCCTGACCCCCGGGAGAGGCACAAGGTGACAGGAGCAGGAGGGGTGTGGGGCTGGGGGCTCACCTGGGCGGAGGGGTGGGCGGCGCGCGGGGGTAGCGGCTGCTGAACGCCTGGCTCTCGTAGGCAGGAGGGGAGTAGACGGGAGGGGGCTCCTCATCCGAGCTATCTGGCTCCAGGGTCCGCTCCAAGATCTGCAGGGTGAGAGGATGGGGTGAGGGCAGGACAGAGAAATGCTCCTCACTGGGCCAGGGCCCCAGTGCAGCAGCACTGACAGCACGGGCTGAACAACACTGCAGAGGATGGGGGCAACCTCATGGCACTGGTCCCCTGCACCACGGGGTTTGGGGGAGTTTGGAGGTGCTGCTCAAGGGATGAGCATGGGTGAGCTGGTCCTTGGGAGCACACAGCTCTGCAGAGTCCCTCTGACGGTAGCAAAGGGTCTTTGTTGGGTTTTGGGGTAGGAGGGAGTAGGGAGAGCACCTTGGCTGGAGCCTCAAGCAGTGCCCAAGACGCACCAGGCAGGCTGTGTGCTCCAGACCAGCTGAACAGGCACTCGAACCTCTGCCTGCCTGCAGCAGCCGAGTAGCACCGTGCCCGGGCAGAAGGGAGGCAGGATGAGACTGAGGTGCCGATTCATGACAGCCCAGGCAGGGCAGCCCAGGCAGGGGAGCCCCCCGAGGTTACCTCGGGGGGGATGCTGTCCTCCGAGTCCGAGCTGTCGTCACAGCCGCTGCCGTCCAGGTTCATCTGCAGGAGCTGGTCGATGGTGGCGTCCACGGCGCCGTTGTTGGCCCTCAAGACACACTCGATGATGTCGTAGTCCATGTTGGGGAACATGGTCTTGAAGTCCTCCATGGCCTGGTTGAACTCCAGCCGCCGGACCTGCCTGGCGGGGCGGCTGTTGTTGAGCTCCTGGGCGGAGGAGCCGCCGCGGGAGCCGCCGTTGCTGCTGCTCCGGCGGAAGAGGCTCGTCATGGCGGGGCGGCTGCGGGGGCACGGCGGCCGCGGTGCTGCTGCGCCCGCCGCCCTCCTCACGGGGGGCTGCCCCGGCGGCCAGCGGGGACCATGGGTGGGCAGCGGGGGTCCCGCTCCCCGCGGCCGACGGCTCCGCGGGTCAGCCCCCGGCGCACTGCGGCATCCTCCCACCTGCGGGGAGAGGGGAGAACATCACCCACGGGACAGCACCCTGAGACACCGCCAGGTCCCCATCTCATCGAGGGACGTTCGGTTCAATCCGACCCATCCCGCTGCGCCCTCGTGGGACTGTCCCATCCCTGGCACGCCGGAGCGTGGATGTGCCACGCCGGGGGCTGTACAAACAAAAGGCAAGGCAAGAAAAATGGCATTACTTCCACTGCCGAGGGCTGCCCAGATTTAACATTTCCATGCTTGACATGTATTTATAAACACGGTAAAATCGCTCTTTAAAATAAAACATGGAGTCGGCTCAGAGAGTGTCAGAGCAGGGGGTAAAATGCTGTGCAGCACGGCAAAATCGACTCTTTGGAAAAGCCACCAAATCCAAGATTAACATTCACTTTAAAACCATAAACAGATTATACAGCTACTGCTTCTCGTTTGGAAATGCAGGGCCAAATTCAGTTCTGGATTAACTCCACTGTTGAAACAGAATTACCCCAGGAACACTTTTGATCCATAATATCATTTTCAAAGGCTTTTTCCTAAGCAGCAGGCAGAGAGTTCAGGATAACTGTCCCTAAATGGTACTTAATGCAGAAGAACGTGCCAAGCACATTTCTTAGCGAAACAGGGTATAATCAGATTGTAAGCCATTAGGAGGAGCAGTCACCTCTGAAGGTCACTCGGGCTCTGCCCTGCCCAGAGCCAGGCCTTGTGTGACAGCCACGTCCCCAGAGCTCGCCTGGCCTCAGTTCACAGCTCCGAGCTGCTCCAAGAGAGGCTTCCAGAGGCTGCTGAGAGCGAAACACACTTGAAAAACGTGGGCAACTCAACGGGAACTCTGGGAGCAGGTTCACTTGTGCCACGCTGGTTAACCCTGGCCTTCATCCTCAGGGACAGTGCTGCTCTGGCTCGGTACCAAAGGAATCACAGGGGATGATTCCTGCTCCTGCTCCGGGCACGCTCCGCTCTCCTTCGCCGGCTTTTTTGTAATCCTGGAAGCATTTGCATCTGGATGCACCAACAGCAGCCCTGTGCAAACACCAGCACCAGCACCCGACCAGACCCTGCACCTCGGCCGAGGGTCCCTGGGCTGAGCACGGTGCCCCAGGGCCCCCATCCAGGGCCACCTTCCCGTGGCATTTGTTCGCCCCGCAGGACAGGACCCGTGGAAAAGCAGCAGCAGCTTCATTGCCGGGCACGAGGGGCCCCCAGCTCGCTCCTGCTCACTGATAGCATCCATGTAAGTGACCACTCAGCCAGGAACTGTCTCCATCGTGCTGTTGCACTCTGTCCCCGGGATCTGCTCCGGCTTGCAGGAGCCAGGCACGGAGCAGGAACAATTCCGACAGCTCTGCCCGGCTCTATTCACCGAGGACAAATAAATCCGCTGGAGTCAATTAATAAAATGCTGCTGCTCGGTTCCTCCTCCGCTCCCCTGACTCACTCCCAGCAAAGAGCCCGGCATTGTTCACACCTCTGGAATTATACTTTAATTGCAATATTGCATGGCTGGTTTAGTCATGTATTAAATTGAGTTGTAACACATTCACAGGGTACACACCTCCTTAAAAGATTTGGCTGCTCCAAGAGGATGGTGAAAGAGCCTGGACACCCAGGAAAACACAGCTTGTACAGAATACACTGCAAACACACACACGATCCACGTACAGAGATGAGAGTCTCTGTGGAGAGCTGCTGGCTCAGAAATGCCATGCCAGCCCATAAACCTCCAATAGCAAAATCAGCCCCCAAAATCAGGCTGGAAATCCCTAGGTCTCTTTAAAAAACATCAAATCTATAAAGTAACAAGGAGCATCTGTGGCTGGAGGGGTCTTTGTCTTCCAGCATTTGTCTTTGAGTGTGTATTTAAGGTCTTCCCTGTGACCATGAGGGCCACAACCATGCTAGGCGTTGGCAATCCCCCTGCCATCCCTCTGGACTTCTCCTGATGCCAACAGCTCTGCTCTGGGGAGGTGTTAGTGAACACTGCATGAGAGTCTGGAACAACTCTCTGGAAGTGCTGGATAGCGTGACTGAGCACGACAACATGCCAAGCAACAGAGAGCTTCTGGTCAGAAGATGAACGAAATCAGGGATGGGGACAAGATATTTATACACCAAAAAGGCTCTGCTGAACATCTGGCTTCAAACAGTCCCGAGGGAATGCGCTGCTGGGACCTTCCCAGCCCTGACATACACCCTGGGGGTTGGGGGCTTGCAGGGGCTGCTGCAAAGGACACCTTTGGCAACACAGAGGTGCAGCTGGTGCCCCCGGCACAGACCAGGGCAGCTCCACGTGCCCTGTGGGCAAACACCACCGTGGGCAGAGGTGACAGTGGTGAAACACCACAAATGAAGGCTTTTAAGTCCATTTTTTAAAGTCCTGCTGCTAATCCAGAGAAATGCAAACCACTATACCAGTATGAGGAAAAAATCCAGGGAAAAGCAAGTCCCCTCATTGGCACGAGTTGACTTAAAAGATCAGCTGGTAGTTGTATTCCAAGGATCCTCCCCAGTGCCTGCGTGCCTGCAACAGCATGTTCAGGTGAGCAATGGGGAGGGCAGTGGGACCCCCAGGGAAGGGGCTCAGCACGCTCCTGGCCCTTATTGCTGTGATGTCAGTGAGGGGCTGGGAAGACGCCAGGAAAAACAAAATCCTTTGGATTTCCCAAAAAAGGAAAGAAGCAGCTGGTGTCTGACTGCAGCCCAGGCATGAGCACGGGTGTGCTCGGGCACGGGCTGGGCTCCTCTTCACCCCGTGCCCCCATCTGCAGAATGGGGCTGTGATGACTCGTTTGGCTGCTGCCTGATCAACTTTCTTCCCGCTTGAAAACAGCTCTCGCCCTGTTTTCCTGCAGGAAGGCCCCTGAATGCTGTTATTCATTCACCCAAACCCGGGCACAGGCGTAATCCTTCACCCTTCTGCTGCGCCCATCACAGGAGGAGCTTAAAGGCTTTGCAAGCTCCGGGTGCGTGTCCCTGTCCACGGGTCACAGGGAGAGGCGAGGTGGCAGCAGGGACACTGCTGGGGTTGGCACTGCCCCTGTGCCCCCCACCAGCCCCAGTAGCATGGCCTAAATCCTCCCCTCCTGGCAGGGCACCGGCAGTGCCCGGTCCTGGCTCGCCCTGGGGACAGAGTGGCAGTGCCCAGCTGAGCCACCTCTGCATCCAGTGGTGGTGGCTGTCCCAGCACTGACCTGCACCATGGGGAAAATGCCAGGTGACATCCCAGTGCCAGCTCTTCCACTGTCAGCCCCACAGGAAGGGCTGCCTTGGTGCCACGTCCACACCAGCTTTTATCCAAGTGCCACTGTGCTCCGGGATGGGGCTGGTACTGAAAATGCCCAGGCAGGTTTTGGTGTCACCACACGGCCAGGACAGTGTGGGATGCTCTCCCACAGACCTCCATGGCTGCAGGCTGTGCTCAGGCACCAGCACACCTTTGTGTGCAGCTCCTGCCCCAAGCTCACCACTTAAAACCAGAAAATGCGACCAAACACAAGCTGACCTTGGGAAGAGGCTCCCCCGTGCCAGCCCAGGGCTGCACCCAGCTCTTCTCCCACCCAAGCTGCCAAGAACTTGCACAATTCAGATCAGAGCCAGAGCCAAGAACGAGACCTCGCAGCCAGGAGGAACCCTCAGTGCGGCTCGTGGGGAGGGAATGCTCACAGCCTGGGGGCACATCCTCCTGCCTGGGCACTCCGTACCTCCCAGAACTGGACTTTTCCCATGGAGGGGTGGCCCAAGGGGCCGCGGGCACAGTGCAAGGAGCACAGGCTGCCTCCCGTCAGCCATCCGGGAACGGTGCAGAGAGCAGCTGGATAATCCCGGGGGTGGGTCAGACCGGTAATGTCATGCTGGAAACAACAGTTGCTGGGCTCTGTGAGGAACACAGCCCGGGCCGAGGAGCCAGCAGCTGGAAAAGCACTGGGACTGATCGCTCGCAGCCCTCACCGCTCGGGGAAGAGCCTTGGCACCAAGTGCAAACGAGAATATTCCCTTCCCCAGTGTCTGCTGCGGCTCAGACAGCAGATGGGATTGCTCAAACACCGCTGAGCCTGCCCGGCCCCTCTCCCCTGCTATTGCCACGCTGTGTTTGCAGATCATCCCTGAAAACACGTCTGCAGCCAGGATGGGGGGATCCCCAAGCACTGGTTCCCCCCAGCCCAGCACTCCCCAGCTCCCCCAGGGCACCCATCACACAGCAGCTGCAAGCCCAGGCCTGTGGTGCAGAGCAGAAGCATTTCCAAGCACAGGATTATCTGGAGACAAGGGCTGACAGCCCCCCCAGCTCCTGGAGGGAACACTCTTGGAGGAAGTCTCAAAACTAGGGATGTTAAACCAGAAATAATGGCTCTGGCCAGAGCAGATGTGCTGAGCTCTGCTGCAGCCAGGCTCCTGAAAAGGGATTGCTCATATATGGGAACAAGAAGTCTGGGAACTGTTCAGCAGCTGCAGGTGTGACTATAATGGGATTGAAATTGGGATGAAAAGTAAAGGATCAGGAACAAAAATGATACCAGTGCCTAACAGCAAACTTGCCAAGGATGGGCAGGATGAGGCCCTCTCAGTCTCTCCCAAATCACCTTCCTCTCCACCTCAGGGGATGCTGAGCACCCCCCCTGGGCCTGCAGCCTGGGAAAATTGCCTGCCAGCAAATCCTTTTTCACGGAAACAAATAAGCACCTGAGGATTCCCTTTAATACTTGTTCTACTGCATATTAAAATGGCTGGGTTTAAGCCCTTTTCAAAGGCAAAAGCAATCAGGGAGGCGAGCACAAGTAAGTCCTGCTTGGGAACCTGTGCAGCACATACCTCTCTGCAACAGGAAATTCCCCTCTTGGCTCCGAGAGCAGCGATTGAGAGCAGAGGGGCCAGGAGAGCCATGGAGTGATCCTGGTTCCAACACTGGGCACTGGCAGCACTCCTGCTCAGGTGCTCTCACCTGATGGCTTTGCTGGGGAGCCCATGGCCAGACCTGCACTCTGAATGCTCCACACCCA